GGAGTTTTTATGCTTCCTCTGCTAAGTGTCTGCTTCTTTGCTATGTTGCAAGATGTCCAGGACTAGAAGACCACCAAAGTCCCTTCCAACCTTATTTATTCCATGTTCTAATTCATGTGCAAATATTGATTGGTTGAGAAACAGCTCTTGTGGCCCCATAATTATCAAAAGACTCTTGGTTTCATTTCTGGGGAGATGATCCTGGGTTTTAGTCAGATTTATTTTGTTCATAACCCTGCAATTTTTCCAATTGGTTGGTTTTGAGACTGTCACTTGCTTCATTGAGGTGGTACTTCCTAGAAGCTTTTTTTGAGAGGGAAGGAACCTGGTCCCCTATCCAGCTTACATGTTTTAAGAGTGGAGCATAAAATGTTCCTCCATTGATCCATTCATCTTTGCCCAGTAATACAGGTAGTCCTCAATTTATGGCCACCACTGAGCCCAAGATTTCTGTTGCCAAGGGCAAAATTTGTTGAGCGAGTTGTGCCCCCATTTTTACGACTTCTCTTGCCACAGCTATTAAGCGAATCACCGCAGTTGTAAATTAGTAACGTGGTTGTTAAGTGATTCCTGGACACTGCAACCATCATAAATGTGAGTCAGTTGCCAAGCATCCGAATGTAAATCACGTGACCCTGGGGATGTTGTGACGTTCGTAAGTGTGAAAAGTGATCATAATAAGTCCCTTTTTTTCGGTGCTGTTGTAAGTTCAAGCCATCACTAAGTGAACTGTTGTAAGGTGAGGACTTGCTGTGTTTATGGGGCCAGTATATCTTGCCTCCTGGCCAGCATCCCCCGCAGAGTTCCATGGGACTCCCATGGAACAGTATGCATCGATGAAAATCTGGACGTTCTACCAAGCCCAAGGGTTGGGATGAGCGTTGAGGACTTTATTTTGAGGGATTGCCCTTTCCAATTGGTGACTGCTTTATTCTTCTGATTGTTTATTATCCCATTTTAATGTGGCGTGTCTTCCTAGCGTTGGGCAGCCTTCTCAACGCAACAAATAAATAAATAAATATTTTATCACCTACTATTTTTATCATGAGTCTTCCCCTTCCTATCGCAGCCTCGTCCCCAAGGTTCTTGTTGAGCATCAAACGTACTCAATTTGCAGTTGAAACTGGCTTTTCAGAATCAAATCCAATCTTTTACCACGGCCGTGGACCAGCCTAAAGAGGGTGGAGTTACAATCAACTGAAAAGCAAGGAAGGATACATCGGGGTCTTAAAAATTTGGAAAACCCCGAAGATATGAGCACAGAAAGCATATATAAAAGTCTAGAAGTATCTTTTAAAAAGAGATAGGCACGTTAGATGGGTATAGGGAAGCACCAAAGCTTAGTACCTGTGAAACTTAACATAAAACAACTCTTAAATAGTGTTCAGCTTTGTATCCAATTTGGTATCCTCTATAATGATGACTCAACTACAAATTATCTGGCCAGTTTGCAGTCACTGTCTGATTGGGATCTGATACGTTCTTTAGGAGAAGAAAAGTCTCCTGACAGTGTCCCATATGGAGCATGATGCAATAGTAGTAGGAGAACAGGATGCAGTCAAAATTCAATGAAGGACGTCAACTGTGACTTGTGTGGATGGGGGGGGGGAGAGAGACCCAGTTTGGTCTTGTGGTGAAGGTACCAGGCGAGAAAGCTGGAGACCGTGAGTTGTAGTTCCGCCTTAGGCATGAAAGCCAGCTGGGTGACTTTGGGCCAATCACCAGGAGATGGTGACTTCTAGTTCCACTTAGGTTCGAAAATCAGCGGGATGACCTTGGGCCAGTCACCAGGAGACAGTTCTAGCTCCGCTTTAGCCGTGAAAGCCAGCTGAGTGACTTTGAGCCAATCACCAGGAGACTATGAGTTCTAGTCCTGCCTTAGGTGCAAAAGCCAGCTGGATGATTTTGGGCCAATCACCAGGAGAATCCGAGTTCTAGTTCTAATTCTAGATTGCTTCTCTCTTTGGTTAGTTTCCATCCGTTGCTTCTTGTCCTGCCTTTGGATGCTTTGGAGAATAGCTTGATCCCCCCCCCCTCTTCTTTGTGGCAACCCCTGAGATATTGGAAGGCTGCTATCCTGTCACCCCAGTCCTTCTCTTCATTAAACTAGACATACCCAATTCCAGCAACCGTTCCTTCTAGGTTTTAGCCTCCAGTCCCCTGATCATCTTGGTCGCTCTTCTCTGCACTTTTTCTGGAGTCTCAACATCTTTTTTACATCGTGGTGACCAAAACTGGATGCAGTATTCCAAGTGTGGCCTTACCAAGGCCTTGTAAAGTGGTATTAACCCTTCATGTTTTTGAAACATCTCCTTATTTTTGCACAGGATTGGCCTGACAAATGCCTCACAGCTTCCCAAACCAGTCCAAACTCTTTATCGCCAGAGAACATAGGTGATACGAATAATTTGCTTCCGCCTGGGTGAACTGCCATGTGCTCTCTTTCCTAGAAAGGCTCAAAACTCCCCATCCACTCGCTTGCCTTTTTGTTCTCCTTCCTACACTCTTGCCTAGAAGCATCAGATAACCAAGAAGCCGAGATGTCCTTAGTTGGTGGCTTGTGTTTTGTGTGTGTGTGTGTGTGTGTGTGCCACTCTCTCAGGCGATGTGACTCAACCGTAGTGCTGTTCAGACAAATCAGTAAACTGGGGAGAACTCAGATTAAAATTGGCAAAGGGGCTGAGTCGCCCAACTTTCCATCTCAATTAATTCTTTAAAAGCGACATTGATTAGGGGGATGACACCCAAATTTAATCAATTGTGTGTTGGGTGGAGGATTGCTGGGACCTCCGGGTCCCCTTGCAAATTTACCGATGTTGTTAAGCCCAAGAATAAGGTGGCAGCTTTAGTACACACAGCAACCATCTTAGCATAAATTATTTCCTTCCTTCCTTCCTTCCTTCCTTCCTTCCTTCCTTCCTTCCTTCCTTCCTTCCTTCCTTCCTTCCTTCCTTCCTTCCTTCCTTCCTTCCTTCCTTCCTTCCTTTCAGTGATAAGCTATTCACTGGAGATGGCAACAGCACAAATCAGTTTGGTGAAGGAAGGACACACAAAACTTTGGAAACTTCATATGCTACTATTTAAAAAAAAAAAGTCCCTGCGGATTTTACTCCGCTAGTAGGCTGTGCTCATCTCCGTTTCAAGGCCATGGACCAGGTGCTCTCCAAAGACATTTCCGCAGCCATGTGATCAGCATCACACAGCGCTGTTACCCTCCCATTGAAATGGTACCTATTTATCTACTCACGTTTGCAGGCTTTCGAACTGCTAGACTGGCAGGAGCTTAGCTGAGGACTGGGAGCTCATCACTTTGCTTAGCACTTGGTTCTTGAACTTGGGCTACCCACTCTCCAGTCGACAAGCCCGGCATCTTAACCACTGGGCCGTCCCCGTATAGTAATAGCACTTAGACTTATATACCGCTTCACAGTGCACGTAACTCTGAAAATGGGTTGTGAGTAGGTCTGTTGTAACTTCTAACAGTTGTTCGGCAACTGGTCCTAAGTGAGGGATCACTTGTAGATTCTGTGGTTCAAATGTTGGATCTCTCTCTCTCTCTCTCTTTCCCTCTCCCTCTCCCTCTCCCTCTCTTTGGCATGGAGACAGACTCAACCAAGATCATACATCTAGGGTTATCCATCAGACAGGGTTAAGACAAGGGCAATTAACAAGATGGCAAGGGCCATCTGGTCCGTCAGGCTGTGGGTGAACCTCAGCTGGAAGGACCAGATGGCCCATCGGCCACAGCAAGGTGTAGGACTCTCGTGATTCCTTTCCTGGAGATCTGGTCACGCTTCATATATCCCATTGAGCTTCTGATCCTACTACTGACCCATTTCAGATGATCGACCTTTCTCGTTTGTTCCCGATCTTCCTGCAGAAATGGCTCCACCACCAGCCACGTGTCTGATCTTATTTGATTTATTTTATTAAATGCATATGCCGCCCATCTCGCCTCCAGGCCACGCTCTCCTGCATACAGTTTAAGGCAGGGGTGTCCAGCCTTGGCAACTTTAAGACTGGTGGACTTAAACAGCCAGCCATGTTGAAGTCCAGAAGTCTTAAAAGTCCAGTCTTCTGCCTTGAGCAGGGGGGTTGGACTAGAAGGCTTCTGAGGTCCCTTCCAGCCCAAGGATTGTATGTATGTTCAAGGTGAGGTAGGTCTGGTGTGTGAGTGAAAATAACAGTGACCTCGATGTCTCTTGAGACAGGGTTGGGTGGCCCCGGGATCATTTTAATGAAGGAACGTGGTGATCAGATGGTCTAGTGTTTCTGGAGCCATGCTTGCATTGACATGGTGGGGAGTTATTGCTTTTTATTCTTTCTATGTTGGGTTTTTATGATTTGCATTGTATTGTTGGCCATGCGAGTTGGCCATGATGAGTTGATGTGAGTTGGCCGTGGTGAGTTGATTGGTAAGTTAGCCGTGGTGAGTTGGCCATGATGAGTTGACTGGGGTGAGTTGACCATGGTGAGTTGGCCGTGGTGAGTTGGCCGTGGTGAGTTGACTGGGATGAGTTGACCATGGTAAATTGGCCATGATGAGTTGGCCGTGATGAGTTGGCCTTGGTGAGTTGACCATGGTGAGTTGGCCATGATGAGTTGACCATGATGAGTTGGCCGTGATGAGTTGGCCTTGGTGAGTTGACCATGGTGAGTTGGCCATGATGAGTTGACCATGATGAGTTGGCCGTGATGAGTTGGCCTTGGTGAGTTGACTGGGGTGAGTTGACCATGGTGAGTTGACCATGGTGAGTTGGCCTTGGCGAGTTGGCCATGATGAGTTGACGTGGTGAGTTGGCCATAATGAGTTGACCATGGTGAGTTGGCCGTGATGAGTTGGCGTTGGTGAGTTGACCGTGGTGAGATGGCCATGGCAAGATGATCGTGATGAGTTGGCTATGGTGAGTTGTAGGCCCCAGGTCATCGAGCTCTGTGCCCTCTCCTCCTGGCAGGAGCTAACTCTCTCTCTCTTCCTTCCTCCCCTTGGCTGACCTCAGGTTACAAGGCAGATCCATGAGCATGAGCAGGAGAACGAGTTGCGGGAACAGATGTCAGGATATAAACGGATGCGGCGCCAGCACCAGAAGCAGCTGATCGCCCTGGAAAACAAGCTGAAGGCTGAAATGGACGAGCACCGCCTCAAGCTGCAGAAAGAGGTGGAGACCCATGCCAACAACTCGTCCATTGAACTGGAGAAGCTAGCCAAGAAACAGGTGGCCGTCATAGACAAGGAGGTGAGCCGGGCGCTCCCACTGGATGGTCCACGTTAGTGACTGATTCAGAGGCCACCCAGATCCACAATACATTTAGGTGCCTGGGGGTGTCCAAGTGGTTTGACAGACTACCTGTTCACAAGTTCATCTTCCCAGCCTACCTGAGAAGGAAGGGAAGGTATTCCCAACTAACAGAATAACAGAGTTGGAAGGGACCTTGGAGGTCTTTTAATCCACCCCACTGCTCAAGCAGGAGACCCTCTACCATTCCAGACAAATGGTTGTCCAATCTTCTTTAAAAACCTCCAGTATTGGAGCACCCCCAACTTCTGGAGGGAAGCCATTCCACTTGTTAATTGTTCTAACTGTCAGGCAGTTCCTCCTTAGTTCCAGGTTGCTTCTCTCCTTGATTAGTTTCCATCCGTTGCTTCTTGTCCTGCCTTCAGGCGCCTTGGAGAAGAGGTGGACCCCCCTCTTATTTGTGGAAGCCCCTCAGATATTGGAACCCTGCTATCCTGTCACCCCTAATCCTCCTTTTCTCTAGACTAGCCATATTCCTGCAACCATTCATCCTATGCTTTAGCCTTCAGTCCCCCAAATGACAGTCTTTGTGAAGACGTGGGTCGGTTTTAAATTTGCTTTTTCACAGGCAAAGACAGCGGCAGCCGATGAGAAGAAGTTCCAGCAACAGATTTTGGCTCAGCAGAAGAGGGATCTGACCAATTTCTTAGAAAGTCAGAAGAAGCAATACAAGATTTGCAAGGAAAAGATTAAAGAGGCAAGGAGAATCTAAAGTAAAAAAGGAGGAGGAAGAGGAGAAGGAGGGGGGAGGAGGGGAAGAGGAGGAGGGGAGAAAGAGAAGTGGAAAAGGAGGAGGAAGGGAAGGACAAGAAAGGGGATAAAGGGAAATGGAAAAGGGGGAGGAGGGGGAGAAAGGGGAGGGGAGGAGGGAAGTAAAAAAGGAGGAGGAAGAGGGAGAAGGGGAAGAGGAGGAGGGGAGAAAGGGAAATGGAAAAGGGGGAGGAGGGGGAGAAAGGGAAGGAGAAGGGGAAGAGGAGGAGGGGAGAAAGGGAAGTGAAAAATTGAGGAGGCAAAGAAGGAGAACAATGACTGTGGGGCCCTTGGTGCTCTCTGAGCTCGGTGGCTTTCTTGCAGACCTTTCATCACCCAACTAGGTAACATCATCAGTGCTAGAAAGGAGTGGGGAGATTAGAGGCTTGATCCTGGAGCTTTTGCCAGCAGAAGTCGGGAGCGGGGGGCCCGTTTCCTTCCCGCTGTAGGGAGTTGCCTTTTCCTCAGCCTGCCCTTCTGCCTCCCCGCAGGAGATGAACGAGGACCACAGCACACCCAAGAAGGAGAAGCAGGAAAGGATCTCGAAACACAAAGAAAACCTGCAGCACACACAGGCTGAAGAGGAGGCGCATCTTCTCAGCCAGCAGAGACTCTACTACGACAAAAACTGCCGTTTCTTCAAGCGGAAAACCATGATCCGAAGGCATGAGCTGGAGCAGCAGAATATCCGTGAGGTCTCCGCTTTTAGCCTTTTTAAACACCCCCCCCCCCCGAAAGAAACTACACCCAAGGACGCAAACTGAGCAAATCCAGATAGACAGGGCCGGTGTGCGGTTTCCGTCCCCCTCTCCCCCAATCCTCTTTAGAAGGTTCCAGAGCAGGGAATCTCCAACCTTGGCAACTTTTAAGACCCGTGGACTTCAGCTCCCAGAATTCCTTTTCGGTTCTGGATTCTTCTGCTGTCATTGATTCGTGATAGGTTTAGATTTGGAGCACGGATGTCGTTTTCCCGGGCGGAAAGTGCCGAAAGTTTGACACTGTCCGATAAAGGAGAATATTTGTAGCTCAGGGTTGAAATGATGAGGGGTCCTTGCTGCTCTCTGAGCTTCGTTGTTTTCTCGCAGACGTCTCAATAGCCAAACTAGGTAGCATCATCAGTGCTGGAAGGGAGTGGGGTTTGTGGAGAGGTGGAGGAGGAGGAGGAGGACTCATTACACAACTAGGTAGCATCATCAGGGCTGGAAGGGAGGGGGGTTTGTGGAGAGGTGGAGGAGGAGGAGGAGGAGGACTCATTACCCAACTAGGTAATATCATCAGTGCTAGAAGGGAGGGGGGTTGTGAAGAGGAGGAGGAGGAAGACTCTGGGGTCCTTGGTGCTCTCTGAGCTTGGCTGTTTCCTTGCAGACATTTCATTACCAAACTTGGTAACCTCATCAGTACTGGAAGAGAGAGGGGCTTGCAGCAGGAGGAGACTGCGAAGTCCTTGGTGCTCTCTGAGCTTGATGGTTTCCCCGAAGGCATTTTATTACCAAACTAGACCACCTCATCAGTACGCTGACGCTGTAACCTAGTTTGGTAATGAAACATCTTCAAGGAAACCACCAAACTCAGAGAGCATCAGGGGAAACCCTTCAGTTTAACTCCTCCCGGCTGTCACGCACATTTGCTCGTGCGCCATCTGCCGGACACTTTTCAGAAATACACCATGAGACACCCCCCCTCCCCAAAAGGTTTTGGCTTTGGTGCTTAGTTGCATGCATGCTGCAAGATGTTTACTTTGTCTCAGCAAGAGAGTGGCAGGAAACTCTGCCACCAGGATGCAGAAAAGTTCTGAGACGAAGCCAAGGTGTCTGTGTTAGAAAAGTCTAGTTGTAAGATTTCTCAGCCTTGACAACAGTAAGGCAGGTGTCCCAAAGGTGCTTTTCTGAGAGGCAGTTGGGCTTTCTGTGTTTTCCCTCGAAGACGTTTCACTACTCATCCGAGAAGCTTCTTCAGTTCTTGGATGAGAAGCGAGGAACCTCTTCAAGGAAAAACGAAGAGAGTCCAGTAGCCTTTCGGAAAAGCATCTTTGGGACATCTGGATGACTGGGAATCCCCATAGACATCCAAGGTGGGTGGACTTCGACTCCTAGAATCTCCCAGCCAGCCTGGCTGACTGTGGAATTCTGGGAATTGAAGTTCACACCTCTTAGAGTTGCTAAGGTTGAGAAACACCGGTCTAGTTGAATGGGAAGAGGCAGTTTGGTCTACTGGTTAAGAGGGCTGGAGTAGGACTGTGGAAATATGAGGTCCAGATGTCTCTTAGACATGATGCCAACTTGGTGACCTTGGGCCACTCCCTCTCAGCCCTGGGAGGAAGAAGGCTGGGGGCCAAGCCATTGTTAAAAATGTTGCCAAGAAAACTTCCGGGAATGGTCCAGCAGTCAAGACTGTCTTGAAGGCACCCCAAAACATCTTTTAATGGGGGACAAAAGGTCCATTGGCTGCACGGTCTTGGGAGAACCTCCAGACCTTTGAATGCAGATCTTAGGGGCCATAGAAGTACAGGAGGAAAGACAAGCAGCTTCACTCGTGGGTTTGCGGGTCCCTAAGCCCTCTCTCTGGCTGTTTTTGGAGACACAAATTGTGGGAGATGACTCGGCTGAGCCGGAAGGAGGGGTCAAACGTGCCATCGGTCTCGACTCCCTTCGCACCCACGAGAGATCCAACTCGGTTGACTCTTATCTGCTGCCAATTTGCTTTGTTCTTGTAGAGAACCTTGCAATAGACTTGCTGATTTTCCTGCCCTTGACAAAAATTGCCTGCTGCTGTTTTTGCTTTGGGCAGGCGAAGGGCAGGCACTGGCTGTCTCTCCTTAAGAAGTGTCAACCATGCAAGATAGCCCAGACTGGAAACCCACTCAGAAGTACTAGCTCTTCTCTTTTATCGTAAGGTTACCTTAACGGACTCTTGTAAGTCCGGAAGGGCGTTTGTGTCTCCTGTTGCCTTTACAGCCAATAAACTAGGGAGGGTCTCTTTGGAGGCGTTTGCCATGCCCTACTTCTGCTCTGGGCTCAGCGGCCTCTTATCCCTCCATTCCCCTGGCTGTGGCTCTTCCCTCTTGTCTACTCAAGGTTGTTCTCACAGACCACCGGCAGAAAAGCTTCTCCTCACCTCTGTTCCTTGCTTTTCCCCCCCCCCCCGCCCCCGCCAAATGCAGGAGCTGAACAAGAAGAGAACCCAGAAGGAGATGGAGCATGCCATGCTAATACGGCACGACGAGTCGACGCGGGAGTTAGAATACCGGCAGCTGCACTTGCTGCAGAAGCTGCGTATGGACTTGATCCGGCTGCAGCACCAGACGGAACTTGAAAACCAGCTGGAGTATAACAAACGGCGGGAACGAGAGCTGCACAGGAAGCACGTCATGGAGTTGCGGCAACAGCCCAAGAATTTGAAGGTAGTCAAAAGGGATGAGGGTGGGAGCCCAGCCCAGGAAGGCTCAGCCTGTCGCCTGCAGGCGACCCCCACTTTAGCAAGCCCGATGTTAAGAAAGTGCCAGTTAAGGTGGAAGGAGGGGTCAAGTGAGGACCTAGCTTGGAATCGTGGCACAGCTGCAAGCGGCATTAGCTTCACCTCAGATCCATGAAGCCTTATCTGGTCACTCCCAGGGGAAGGCAAGCAGTCTGGGGGGGGGATCCTTGTAACGTAGGCATAGATAATTCTTTGGAGGGCAGCCCCCCCCCCAATGCAGCTCAGAACCCAAATGTGAACCTTTGTGGGCCTTGCTGGATAAACCAGGCAGGAATTCCACTCTTGCTCCTCCTCTCCCCAAATCTGCCACCCTCCCTTTCAAGGAGGTCAGTCAAGAAAAGTCCCAACCTAGAACTAAGGAGAAATTTCCCGACAGTGAGGGCAAATTCATCAGTGGAATGGCTTCCCTTAAGAAATTATGAGCGCTCCATCACCGGAGACTGGGCAGCCCCTTGTCTGGAATGGTAGAGGACTCCAGCTTGAGCATGAGGTTGGACTAGAAGACCTCCAAGGTCCCTTCCAACTTGGTTATTCTGTTATTCAGTTTATTCTGACGTTATTTGGAGAGACGTATAAGTATTGGACTTAAAAATCCCCCCTTCTGGAAGACGTTTCCTTCCGTTTAAAATCAAACCTACAGAGGCCAAGCGGGCAAGGGAGCTTAAATGTTCATTGGTCGGTTGCTTCTCGCTTCTCCTCTGCAGGCCATGGAAATGCAGATCAAGAAGCAGTTCCAGGACACGTGCAAAGTGCAAACTAAGCAGTACAAAGCGCTCAAGAATCACCAGCTGGAAGTGACTCCAAAGAGTGAGCACAAAACTATTTTGAAAAGCCTGAAGGATGAGCAGACGAGGAAGCTTGCCATCCTGGCGGAACAGTATGAGCAGAGCATCAATGAAATGATGGCGTCGCAAGCGGTAAGACGGGAGGGGGGGGTGTCCTCAGTCCCTGGGGGGGAGGGCTCATGAAGAAGTGCCCCTCCCTGGCTAAAAAAAACAAACCCTGAGCAAAATAAAAGCCATCTTGGAGGGATGTTGGGATTATTGAATTATTTTTATCCCATCTTTATTGTAGTTTATAAGTAACATACTTAATAGTCCTCCCTCCTTCCATTTCCCCCACCACGACGACCTTGTGAGGTGGGTTGGGCTGAAAGGGATGGACTGGCCCAAACTCACCCAGCTGGGTTTCAAGCCTGAGGCAGGACTAGAACTCTCTGTCTCCTGGTGATTGGCCCAAAGTCCCCCCGTCAGCTTTTATAACTAAGGACTAGAACTCAGATCCTCCTGGTGATCACATAACTGCAGCTGTCGTAAATATGAGTCAGTTGCCAAGCATCTGAATTTTGATCACGTGACCATGGGGATGCTGCAACGGTCGTAGGTGTGAAAAGTGGCCATCAGTCCCTTTTTTCCCTGTGCCGTTGTAACTTCGAACGGTCACTAAATGAGGACGGTTACACCCAAGTCTGGGTAGATAAAATACAGAAAGGAATGTAAATCAGAAGGGAGAGTCTGGGAAAGAAAACGTCAGTGCCCTTGTAACTTCCAACGGTCGCCCAACAAACAGTTTTAAGTCGAGGACCGCCGATATGATTTGCCCCTCCCTGACCCTTCCTGATGTGCCCCCTTGCAGCTGCGCCTAGACGAGGCTCAGGAAGCAGAATGCCAGGCCCTGAGGCTGCAGTTGCAGCAGGAGATGGAGCTGCTCAACGCCTACCAGAGCAAGATCAAGATGCAGACAGAAGCACAGCACGAACGGGAGCTCCAGAAGTTGGAGCAGAGGGTGTCCTTGCGCAGAGCACATCTGGAGCAGAAGGTAAGCTGGAGCCAGGCTGCGAAGGGCTTCGACGGTGGCATTCGCCTTCAGC